TAGAGAGATGTACCTTTTGGCTCGGTCTAAGGATTTAAGTTTGCACTACTACAAGACATGTTATTTACATCGGTTCTTTAACACTATCTACATCGGTTCTAAAACCGATGTAGAATGGAGTGACGTGGTAAATGTATCGGTTTTAAAACCGATGTAAATTTGTGTATAATTTTACATCGGTTCTGTGTATAACCGATGTAAATTTGTACATCAATTTACATCGGTTCTGTGTATAACCGATGTAAATTTTTTATGTCTCTTTCATGGATTATTTTGCCACGCTCTCCTTCAAGAAGCTTCTTTGTGATCCTGATATCCAGCTCAAATGTTTCTGCAATTCCCCAAAAAGAAAAGCCACAATTGATATGTCAGATCCTCAAATTTAAATATTCAGACATTGGTGCAAAAGGATAAAAACAAAGAAAAAAATTATTAGTAATGTCAAATGTGTGTGTGCAAGATAGAAAACTAAGTAACGGGAAAAGAAAAAAAAATAAAGTTAAACTGCACTCTTGGACCTTTTTTGCTTTGGATTATGAGTGATTTTCATCCCTATTATTTTTTCTTTTCGGTTAATTAAGTCCCTCTATCAATGTCCCTACTCCTTCTGCTTAAATTCCTTAAATTTTCATTTTCTTCTATCTAAAACTCACTGAACAAAACATTAAACCTCACCCAAAATTCAAAAAAGGAATAAGACTTTTCTCTCTTTAAATCCTAATTTCATATCCTATAAAATCCTTTAAATTTTCTTAAATTTCCACTAAACTTTTTACCTCTAAAATTTTAAAATTAATTTGTACCCTAAATCCATCACAAACCCACAAATATTTGGAAAATTGAGAATTTGAATGTTTTAGTCATGGAGAGGTCAAATTTGTTTAATTTTAAAAATCGGGGAACTTAATTGCCTTCAAAAAACTTAGAAGAACAAAATAAAGCAAAGCAAAAGTACAATAAAGCCAATATATATATATATATGTGTGTGTGTTGCTAAACGAAGCAATAGCATAAAAAGTACGCATATAAAAGTAATTGTATCACTTCAAAGTCTTACGAGTTCTAAGATAGTTGTAATAAATATAAGGTACGAATAGGATTTGACTAATTGAGAAAGTGATGATGTATCCATGTAGAAAGATAAGAAAGATGAAGAAGATTAATGAAGAAAACTGGAAAAATATACAGAAAATGAAAGCAAAAGTTTGAAGTGAAAGCACATCCAATGTTTTGATTGAAGCTAATTTGGTTTAGGTTTGGTCACAGGCCTAATCAACCTATAGATTCTATACTAATAAATTTAATACATTTTAATTCTCGCTTTCAAGTACAACATCATTATATTAAAGAGGTTTGCAGTTTATAAATTACACTATTGAAAAAACCCAAAACAGCCCATGCCAGGACCAAGTTTGTACTAAATGGGATAAACTCATAACTTAGCTTCAGGACTAAATTGCTATTAAACATCAGATATCAGTATGCTTAAAATGTTTTGTCAATGTTGAATGTCATTTAAATTTAGTAAATGAATGAAAAAGCACTAAGCTTACCTCAACAAGTGCAGTCAGTCCAAGTAATTTGCATATCTTAACCATGTTCTCACTACTACATATATCTCATTTAGTAACATTTATCTGCCAACATGTAATAAAATGTTACTAATTTCTATTAATTATATATTTTGTAACATTTTTAACAATAAATGTTACCAATTAATTTGAATTATACTCTTTAGTAACATTTTTAATCATAAATGTTATTATTTTATTTAAATTATATATATTTTTTTACTTTCTAACATTAAATATTACTAACTTATCTAACATTTTAAACATTTTTAATAATAGATTTTACTATTATTTGCTTAATTACTAATTTTAAATAATAATTAGTTTTTATTTAAAATCTATTTTCTTATTTTAAAAAAAAATACTTGCTTAAACTAGCAGAAACGTGCAAACAGCCCTTCCGCACCAAGAGAGATGAACAGAGTATAAGCATCATTCAGAAAAATCGGAAGACTGAGCAATGGCAACGTTCTCTCATTCAACTCTCTTATTCTTCACATTCAGAAGCCACAAACACTCGTATTGACCTAGTTCTTTTCATCTCTCATTCTACTCTCTTATTCTTCAAAATCAGACGCCATACTCATTTGACCTAGTTATCGAAACCTTAAAGTAAGTTTTACGATTTTTAATTTTGAGTAACCAGGATCTTTTGATTCCCTAATGTTGTTCATTGAATTAAGGATGTGAGCGAGATATCTTATTGGTTCTGCTTCCTTTTCCCTATTGTTTGTTCTATACAGCTTGGAGAAGGTGAGGGGGAAACTGCTACAATTGAAGCGGGTTATCACTATGTGCTAGAATGGATAATTTGCTTGCCTGAATTTTGGTACTATTTCTTTTGGATGATATTTTCTTAGTTTACAACTAGTAACTGGAGTTTATTGTACTTTTCATTTAGGTTGGAGAGAAAGGAGTTTTGAAATATATTTATCCTTATGGTTTTGGATTTTTATTGTGTTATTCTTTGTATTATCTTTTTGATTCAAAGCCATGTAAGATTCATTATTTTCGGTTTTTATAGAAATTAATAATATTGATAGCTAGCAAAATCCCTTTCTAGTTTTACTTAATCTGAATGCTATGCTATGGAATATCACAGAAACATAAATATCAAAGAGATTTTTGATCCTTTAATTTATAATTTAGAATGTGCAGTTTTAGTCCCGCAAGTTTTTCTTAGCCAATTAAGTTCATCAATTTTCTAAGTTAGGCAAATTTGATATGCCAAGTAATGCTCAGTTGCTCACTTTACATCGTGGCAATGGGTGTGTCTACAGGGTCTTTAACTAAGCTAGGATGATTGGATCTTGATATGTTTGATTGCTGGTGTGCTTTACCATTGATGGTGTATGTCTTGATGAGGTGTACATAGTTCAATTAGCAATAAGAAGTGATTTGAAAAAGCATAGTACTCAAGCTTTTGCGTTGTCAAAATATAGTCAATGGAGCGTGTTGGTATGTGGATCTTAGACTCCATTAGGAAGAACCTTCTCAGAAAGTGCATGAAATTATAAAGAAATGAGTCAACAGAATTATAGCATATTAAACTTCTCATAAACGAGCATGAAATTAACAGTATATTTACATCTTCCGACTCTTGTCCAGTTCTTCTTTCATATATAGTTGAAAAAAGTCTAAACGTTTTGTCATGTGAACTATACAATTTTTGTCTAGCTATTTCTGCTGCGCCTAAGAAGTACTTGTGCTGAAGTTAAGAATCAGTGTGTTCTCTGTTTTGATCCCAATCTGCAATGAATATTCAAATGTTACTTTCTCTAGGGTGGCCTAAACTTAGTGGGCACTTCTAAATTGCAGAACCTCAGCAAACCTATCTTCTCAAATGAGAGAAAAAGACAAAATAATCTCTCAACGAAAATAAAAAATAGAAAGCAATACAATAAGCCAGGTGAACATTTGGTCCGAAAATATTCAATCAGATGTTTATTCATGTTCTGCACTTACACTCGCATATATGCGGAACTAGCTATAATCTTTCTCATCGAATTCATGTGAATCCGTTAGTCAACTTTAATATATCAAGATGTCGGGTCAACTTTTGCCAAGGAACTTTAGTTGCTCGCATACTTTCATAGAATAGTACCAATTGAATATAATTCTGTTAATTTCACATGAAATTAACACAATTATATAGTTAGGAAAACACCACAACGCAAGGGTTCCACCTATGAAATTCCAATTTTGTAAGTATTGGGTACAAACACTCTGTATGTAATTAGTTAATCAAAGCTTTTAGATAAGTCATTGGAATGTGGTTGGAACTATGCAGCTGTAACGATTTTGATCCCTCATTTTTCTTTTTATCTATAGCAAAAAAGTTGAAAATTTGCAACAAAAAAAAAGTTCAAACTCCATTGTTGACTGTATGCTGACTTTTGTATATAATATTGCAGTGCCTAAAATTTATGTGCTAGTACCTATACACCTCTAAGATAAGTCATTGGAATGTGGTTGGAACTATCCAGCTATAACAATTTTGATCCCTCATTTTTGTTTATAATTAGCATTCAATTTGAGGACTATGCAACAACAAAAATAGTATAATTTATCACTTTCATAGACTTATGACTTGTTGATGAAATTGGAAATATACGTTTTTAAAGGGATTCACTTGAAGACTTATGACTTGTCATTTTTTTACTGGGGAACAGTTCCTAGTGTGGCACTTTCATGTGTGACACCATTAACAAAGTTATTCTTTGTATTAATTTTAATTACTAAATATAAATTTGTTTTAGGATATTTGTGAATGGCTTGTGATCGAACCACTCCCATCGTACGGTAGAGGAAGAGACGCAGCAGCAAGAAGGTACACCAGCCTCATATTTGGAACAAACCTCATTGATGTTATTGTCACAGGTATGGAAAAAGTTGTAGGAAACAATTATCAAACAAGTAGTTAAGGGTTGGTGAACCTTTTTCAGCAAGTGCTACGCATCAAAACTTTGAATTCATGTTGCCAAAGTTTACTTACTCTGATTTAAATTCAATGTATTATTCAGTTTAGACTCGTATTTTTCAATTGATTATTTAATTTAAGAGTTCTATAAAATTTGCCAGGGAACTTAGTCTAATAGAAAATCCACATTGTGTTCTAATAGAAAAAAAAAAGACTAATCCAACATAGTGGAAAGCCAATTTGTAGAAACTCTCTCATATTAACTTCTTGTGCAGGTACATTTTAGAAAATGACAGATTTTTGACTACTAGCCTCTCACCTAGTACATTTCTCTTAAAGGGTAAGTTCATTGTGATTTTCATAAGAGAAATAATCAATTTCTTATTTCTTTTCCTGTGCATTTATACCATGTAATAAGTTGAATGAATCTTATTCATATGATGAATTTTACACCATTTTATTAGATTCATGCATCTTCAATTTTTTAAGAATAAAAAACTTTACAATGAAGCAAATTTTGATTCTGAAAATGTTGAAAGGGTAAGTGAAATTTATTAAATTGATATAATTACTTTTGATTTTATTTAGCCATAAACCAATTGATATTTATTTTGAAAAATATAGGTTAATAAAATGGCTGTTAAAACATGGAAGTCCATGACTAATGAGGTAAGTCTAAGCCTTATTTTCATTTTAAAGTAATTTGTTTTCTTCAATCCTGAATGATTTTAATTTATTTTTTTGTGTTTTCAATATTATAAAAACCATACTGCTATCCTGCTCATTACATGCTTGTGGGGCAACATAAAATTATATGAAGTATACTCTAATTTTATTTTATTTTTCTTAGCAAGAAGAAAACTGTTAGCAACAAATCTCTCGATTACTTTTCCTATTTCAATTAACTAATTCTTACTTTAATAGCCAAAAAAAAAACAAATTTCAAACAACCCAGCTGTTTACATCACAGAACGAAGATGACAGACAGTGGCTGAATCTATCAATTCTAATTTCTAAGGAATGAGTTAAGAGTTTAGGACAGTATTTAATAACCATTTTTTATACTTGTTCTTAATTTTTTATACCTTTATTTTGTTTATGTTGCAGGTTTTAGAGTGAATATGGTAGTGGTGGTGGTTGTGGCAATTTAGATCGTGTGTATATTGAAGACATCTTATTATTTGATATGGAAGTTACACAATTCAAAATGAGAATTCATAGAAAAATGCAACAGTGTCACTTAGATGATTTTGGTTTTATCTTTGACAAAGAAGAAATTACATGTTATTGCAAACTTGAAAAATTTGTGTTGCCTTTTGAATGATACCATGATGGACAAAAAAGATTTAAATAAAAAGTTTATCTTTATTTTAATTCATTAAATGCATAAATTCATGCTTGCAAGTGTTAGAATATAGTAAATTTTCAATTCACTATTTGAATTAATAAGGAGGCAATGGATTCAAAGTTGTTATGATTTAGATGTTTAAAACATAAATTTGTAACATTTGATAAATGTGGCAAAAGGTGTCAATTGACGGCATTTATAAAATGTTACTAGTGATATGCTAAAATGTTACAAAAGATGTCAATTTGTAACATTTATAAAATGTTACAATTGGTATGTTAAAATGTTGCTAAAACCTTTTAGCAACATGGACTTTATACTACATTTGTAAAAGTGTTGCTAATTATAATTGGTAACATTTTTCTTAATTTGGTAACATTATTTAAATGTTGTTAAATATGAAAGATGTTGTAGTGATTATGATATGTTGAATCAGATATAATAGATCAAATACTTTGAGAAAAGAAAAGTCACAAGCTATATACCAGAGAATCACTTACTATATTAACGATACAATTAGAAAGGCCAAATGGGAGCCACAAATATATTTAAACCTCTCATTCATATCAAACAAAATATATGGCCATTGAAAAAGATCATTAGCAATGTAGTGCTGTTAGTGTTCCCCTTCTATACATCTACAAATGTAGGTTTTTGCCTGATTTGTGTATCTATAATCATAGGCGGAGAATGAGAGAAATTATACTTGATCTATAACAGTAAACGCACCATAGAAGGAAAGAAATAATTTGTGTAATTTTCACTGTTCTCAAATGATACAAACGAAAGGCTATATATAGCCAATTTATGAAGTAGAAGACGAAAAAAGAGAATGCGGAAAACGTGCAGCACTGAAAACAGAAAAATGAAAAATGGAATCTACACGAGAGGAAAAAAATATCCACTATCGAGCATGACTGTGTTGAGCATGACTGCATCATACATAGTGCATCGGATGCATATGTATTCACTTATCACCATCATAAGTCATTATTTAAGCTCTGCAATAATACCCCCTCTCAAGCTGGTGGGAAAAAAATATCAAGCACACCAAGCTTGGTTAGGAAGTCATTGAAGAACTTTGGAAACAAGGCTTTGGTGAAGAAATCAGCTAGCTGCTTTGGAAGGTATGGGAAGAAGATGCATGAGTCCAACTTGTAGCTTTTCTCTGACCAAGTGACAATCCATTTCCAAATGCTTTGTGCGTTCATGAAACACAGGATTTTGTGTTATGTGTAAAGCACTTTGGTTGTCACAGAACAACAAATGAGACTTTGACATGCAAACTTTGAGATCTTGCAGCAAGAAATGAATCCATTGAAGTTCACAAGTGGCAACACCAAAGGCTCTGTACTTTGCCTCAGTAGAAGACCTGGAAATTGTGGATTGTTTCTTGGATCTCCAACTAATTAGAGCATCTCCAACAAAGAAACAATACCTTGTAATTAATCTACGAGTATCTAAACATCCTCCCCAATTCGCATCACAGAAGCCCCTCACTTGAAGTTGAGAATTTCTAGGAAATAATCCAAGACTAGGGGATCCTTTTAAGTATCTCAGTATCCTAGTGGCAGCTTTATAATGAACTTGTGTTGGGGAATTCATGAATTGGCTGACTTGTTGGGTAGCAAAGGTGATGTTTGGTCGTGTTGTTGTTAAATAGAGCAATCTGCCTACAAGTCTGCGATAGGAAGGTGCATCTGTATAAGGGGAACTTGTATCTTGTCGGAGATGAATGGTCGGGTCTAATGGTGTGGAGGCTGGTTTACTTCCTAAGAGAGTTGTATCTGTGAGAAGCTCCAAACAGTATTTCCTCTAGCACACGAAAATTCCAGCTGACGAATGAACAATTTCTAAGCCTAAAAAATAATTTAATAGACCAAGGTCTTTTATGCCAAAATTGCATGTAGACTCCCTTTAACAAAGTCAAACTCAGTTAGACTATCTCCAAACAATAAAACATCATCAACATAGACTAAAAGGCCATTGAAAAAGGATGTATTATGTTTTAAGAAAAGAGAATGGTTTGCAACAGAGTGAGAGTAGCCCAGATTCAGTAGAAAAGTTGATAGCTTCTCAAACCATTGTCTGCTGGCTTGTTTGAGCCCATATAGAGACTTGGTGAGTTTGCAGACTTGATTGGGACTTGTAACAGTCATGCCTTGTGGAACAATCATGTAGATTTCTTCCTTCAAATCCCCATGGAGGAAAGCATTGTTCACATCAAGTTGGTGAAGATGCCATCCTTTAATAGCAACTAAGGCAAGAATGACTCTAATGGTGATTATCTTGGCAACCGGAGAAAAAGTGTCCAAATAGTCTAACCCTTCAATTTAAGTATATCCCTTTGCTAACAACCGAGCCTTGAACCTTGTAAACCCATTTATTACCTATGGGAATCACTCCAGGAGGGAGTTCAACAATCTTCCATGTTCCATTGAGTTCAAGAGCTGAGATTTCAGCTTCCATGGCCTTTTTCCATTGATCAGACTTGCTAGCTTCAGAAAAAGATTTAGGTTCTGGGACGTCTAACAAACAAGCACTATAGACAGCATGTAAAGGTGACAAGGCATGGAAAGAAACATAAGACTCTATTGGATAAGGAGTACCTGAATGATGATGCTGGGAAGAGATGGATGTATTACAGTGATAGTCTTGTAAATATGTGTGCCTTGTTTTATGTCTGAGGGATCTCCTGCAGGTCGTAATAGGATGTTCTTGGTTTGTTGGTGATGGGGAAGAAGTTATGGGAGAAAGAAGAGTAGGAGATACCTAATTATGTGAAGATGAAATTTCTGTGTCAGCTTCCTCTAGCTGATCAGGATCTGAATTGGTGAAAGAGGTGGGTGAAAATGGTATGGAGATGCATTATGGTACAGAAAAATCTCCTGGCTGTTCAGCATTCAAGACATAAGGAAAAATGAGTTCTTCAAACTACACATTTCTAGAAACATGTATCAACTTTGTATTTAGATCATAAATCATGTAACCTTTTGTTCCTGGTTTATATCCAATAAAAACACATTTGTGAGCTCTAGAATCAAATTTCTTCCTATGAAGAGAAATGCTAGAAATGTAGCATAGACACCCAAAAACCCTCAAATGTTTTAAATCAGGGAGCTCACCATATAAAATATGATGAGGTGATTTTGAACCTAAAACTTGGGTTGAAACTCTATTAATTAAGTGTACAACATGAGTCACAGCAAAACCTCAAAAAGATTTTGGCAAATTTCCTTGGAAAAGAAGTGCTCTAGCAACATTTAGAATGGTTTGATGTCTCCTTTCCACTCTACCATTCTGTTGTGGAGTTTCTACACAAGAAGTTTGATGGACGTTGCCTTCTTCTTGATAGAAAGCATGCAAGAGAAACTCAGTTCCATTGTCTGTTCTTATTGTCTTGATTTTGCTATTAAATTGCCTATCAACCAATTTTGAAAAATGTTTTAGTGATTGTTCAGTTTGAGATTTGTGTTTTAAGAGAATTAACCAAGTATACCTACTGTAATCATCCACAATGGTTAAAAAATATCTTTGGTGATTTACAGTTTGTATACTATAAGGGCCCCATAAATCTAAATGCAATAATTCAAAAGGTCTTGAAGTTTTAGAATTACTAACTATAAAAGGTAGCTTCTTTTGTTTGGCAAAATGACAAACATCACATACATGCTTGTGATTACAATTGTGTTTATGAAAGAATACAATTCTGATAACATGTTTAGCCTAGACTCAGAAATGTGCCCAAGTCTAAAATGCCACAAGGCATTAGGAGAATAGGTAGAATTGTGTGTTGAAGATGTGTTGATTTGTGAAGGATTTGTAGTTGGTTTCTGACTAGTCTTGATCAAGTAATACAGTCCATCAACTTCTTCAGCAAAACCAATCATCCTCACAGACTTCGAATCCTGTATGAGACAATCATTAGGCAAGAAAGTAATTGTACAATGTAGAGATGAGATCAGTTTTAATACAGAAATGATGTTTAAAGAAAAATCTGGGAGATATAAGACCTGAGTTAGAATTAGATGAAGATTTAAAAGGACTTTACCAGAATGTGTTGCTAGAACTGTGTTACCATTTGGAAGTTTTACTGATATAAATTGTGATTTCAATGGTTCTAAGAAGGTGAACAAGGATTTATTGGAGCAAATGTGGTCTGTTGCGCCTGAATCTAATATCCAAGTTCATGAAATTTTGGAATCGGCTAAGCAAATCAAAGAATTTGGTTTACCTGAGTTCAAAGTCAGATTGAAAATTGGAGTAGTGGTTAGAGTTGCAACCTGATTGCTTCCTGAAGAACTAGCTGGGTTAGAAGACTGGATAAGGGCCATGAGAGCCTTATACTGCTCTGGTGAAAACTGGGAATGCTGAGGCATATTTGAGTCTTTATTGGATACTGAATCATCTCCATTTCCTTCCACTGATCCAAACATCATGCTATTTGTGTTGCTGTATCATTTCCTTTTCCTTTGAAATTGTTGGGATATCCATGCTTTTTGTAACAAGTTTCTACTGTATGCCCTGCCTTGCCACAAAAACTACAAATCTTAAAATTGCCTGAACCACCACCTCTCGCCATGGAAAATGAAACCTGCATAGCTCTTGAACTTCAAGAGCTCTGATACCATAACACTAAACGCACCATAGAAGGAAAGGAATAATTTGTGTAATTTTCACTGTTCTCAAATGATACAAACGAAAGGCTATATATAGCTAACTTATGAAGCAAAAGACGACAAAAGAGAATGCAGAAAACGTGCAGTACTGAAAACAGAAAAATGAAAAATGGAATCTAATTTGTTACACGAGGAAAAAAAATATCCACTATCGAGCATGACTGTGTTGAGCATGACTGCAGCATACATAGTGCATCAAATGCATATGTATTCACTTATCACCATCATAAGCCATCATTTAAGATTTGCGATAATAATCTACAATTACGTGGTCTCAAACAATTTATATATGGACATTGGACAAAATTTAGTTATAATACTGTAAGTCCTAAGTCCTGTTGGTGTTATTTCTCGGTTAGAATTAGAGTTCCAATTCAATAATATACATAAATAAATATCACTGAAGTGTACATTATATATAAATACATATTATCAAGATGAAACTTTAATTCTAATCGAAAAACAACTATGTAAATTGTCCCTATTGTATAACACAACCACATTTTCTTGATTTATGAAAGAGTTGATAACATATCAGATGGAGATTTGAGGCCACATGATTTGGTATAATAATTTCTCCCATAATGGACCATGATCCCAAGTACTCTGAGGCAGAATGAAACTATGAAGAGACATTGGCTCTCTGCAAGATCATAAATCTTCTTCTACTAGCACTCTCCACACTTTCACCAAGTTTAGCAAGATGTTCCATCCTCTTTTTCCATAACTCTGAAGAGCCTGAATCATTTGATTTTTCTTCAGGCTCAACCGGATCATTTTCAGACACCTCAATATCTTTATCATCTGCAGGGTGTTGTTCTTCATCAGAGTCTTGGATTATCTGCTTCAATCTCTCTACCACCTGACTCATTGTTGGCCTATCTTTTGCACTCTTACGCAGGCAATGATCCGCAAGTTTGGCAAGTTTTCGCATTCCTCCAATGGAATATTGTCCTTCAAGTAGTCGTGGATCGATTATAGTGTCAAACCTTTTGCTGTCAGAAGGGTATTGCTTAACCCACTCCAATAGTTTTTTCTCTGTTTTGGGTCTGTTTCTTTCCATTGAACGCCTACCAGTGAGTATTTCATATAACACCACGCCAAAACTCCACACATCACTCTTGGCAGTGAGATGTCCTGTCTCAATGTAATCAGGAGCAGCATAGCCATATGTTCCCATTACCTAACATCAAAAAGAAGTTTGCATGAACACAGTACAATCTTGATGGTCATGTATTAAAATTTAAAAGTGTTAACTTTTATGGCTTATATTTGGTAAGTCTTGTACCTACACAAGAAAGAATAAAATATGGATTGGTGAGACATCAATAGAAGAAAATATAGAAAATCAGTTAAGGTGATGTTTAGACATGTAATTATGCAAAGGTTAAGGAAGAGAGTATATTGCAAAAAGAAAAACGGGGTCAAGAAAGGCTAAGAAGCACATTAAAGAAAATTATAAAGAAGGATTAAATATATTTTTTATTCCTCAAGTTTGGGATAAATTTGTTTTTGATCATCAAACTTAAAAATGATCATTTTAGTCTTTGTAATTTAAAAAAAAAATATTTTAGTCTCTCAAATATATCAATAGCATCACTGATAAAGACATTGAATCAATTGTGCAATATTAATTGAGTTTAATGTGTGATACTTTCATTAACAAGAACACTAATAAATGTGTTTCGTATAACTAATTTAGTAATAAGTGAGTTTTATTCGACAAACTCCCTCGTTACATTTGAGTATAGATTGAAATAAGTTTTTATAGACATGAGACTAAAAAAATTAATATTAAATTTGAGAGATTAAAACTAAATTTATTTCATTTAAAATACAAAAATATATTTAAGCATATTAAGAGGGATGTTGTAATAAATAACATCATTGAGGATTTAGTCTTTAATTGTGTTCAATGGCATAGTGCAATCCATGTAACCAATCTCACTTTAGTAAGATAAGACTTTTGTTGTATATCTGGTAAGTCATACTTACAAATAGTAAAGTTCAGTTTAGAATCTATTCAGAAGAATATTTATACAGTATATATGGGAAACTCTATCACCAATAAAGCTAGCAATAAAGTTTGTAATGAAATTATATCCACAGAAAATTCCAACATGGTAGTCTTCAGTATTCAAATTCTGTGAGATCAACCAATACAACACACTTATGCAATGTGGAAATGCTACTGAATAAGGCATGACACTTACAGCTGTTGAAACATGAGTATCACCAGCTACTGGTCCCTCCCTAGCAAGTCCAAAATCAGAAAGCTTTGGCTTGAAGTTTTCATCCAGTAATACGTTTGAAGCTTTAAAATCTCGATATATCACCTAAAGAATTAGTATACTAATCGTTAAAAGCAGAGGGAGAAAAGTTTAGTAGTTGAAGATATAAATAGAATTAAAAGCTATCTAACACCGAGAAAAGCAACTCACTGATAAGCAAATTGCAACTAATAATATGAAATCCAAGTGTATGTTATTACTCAATCAAATTGCCACTCTTAATGATATAAATTTATGCAATCAAATTGTGGTAGTGTAGTGGAAGATATTTATACATCGACAAGATCAAGTGGACAAATTATACAATAGCTGCTTGCCCATTCTCAGAAAAAGTAATCTAATTTCCAATTAATATTAGATAGTTTACATATATTCCAGGATAAATTCAAATTCTTAAGGGAATTCAGATATAATGTATATTCAACATAAATTTGCTCCATGATGATGCCATTAAGCAGGAACTAAGAACATTCAAATTCCTATATTGTTGTACATCATCATTAAGGTATGTAAGTTCCAGAAATTGTTCATATAAAGTAATTTTAATAAGATCCTATGAATGCAATAAGAGCCTAAATTTCAAAGGAATATGGTTTAAACAAATCAGGGCCAAGCTGGAAGAGAACCCTAGGTCAGACGTTTCATCAACAGATTAAACTAATTTGTTATGTGAGCAATATTCATTTTTCAAAAAGGATGGATTATCTAAGCTAATGAAAGAAGGATATTAAAATTTGTGATCCTCATCCCGATACTCTAAACTCATTGACTTTCCTTTTCCAACTCCTATTTGAATAAACTTCTCCAAAAACACTTCTAGGATAAGAAGGAAAAATGAAATAAATTTCTGAATAAGCTAATTTGTAGAAGCTATCTCCGAAATCTTATTTTTAATTTATATATAAGCTAATTTTAGCTTATGAAGAAGTTTATCTCAAATTTTCTTCTTTTTTTTTTTTTCTCTCAGAAGTATTTCAAGTGAAGCTTAACCAAATAAACCCTTAATCTAAAACAAAAGCAAAGACCAAAGAATAAAATTTGTTTGCTTGAAAAACACAACTATAGCAACCGCATCTGAATAGCCAAAACACATGCCATTGACTGAATTATCATAAGACAAAGTGGAAAGATCTGTCATTGACACAATTTTTTTTCTTTTGGGTGAATCCAGGATCTTACTGAGTTGTTAGTCAAAGATTAGTCCCTCAAGGTATTGAAATCCATTTAAAGGACTAACCTCATATTTTTCCATACAAAGGCTTGGGAATTGAAACATAGACAACACGTGTGCCCCCTAACTCGTGCTAAAATCATAATTCAATCAAAAGAATACGGCAAAATAAGGATACTATAGACCATGTGGTCATAGAGGCACTAATACAATGTTATGGACCATTTCTCCTAACAGCTTAAAATGTTAAGTGATGGCACATGAATGACCATGTACTCTAACTCATCCTAATGGGAGAAAAAGGGATAATATATAATCATATTGATTTAACTGAAACCTGAATTTCTAATTCTTCGTGCAGATAAGTTAACCCTTGAGCTGCTCCAAGTGCTATTTCAAGTCTTGTTTTCCAAGGAAGAGGATCACATGCTTTATTGAAAAGGTGATACTCTAAGCTTCTGTTTGGCATGTATTCATACACAAGTAGTCTCTGGATCCCTCTTTCATCATCCAGAGCACAGTATCCAATAAGCTTGACAAGATTTGGGTGTTCCACAACACCAAGAAACTGAACTTCGGTCAACCATTGCTTATGACCCTACATGATAGAAGGGAAAATAGTAAAAGGATAATCAATGTAAAAAGAAAATAAAGAACATTTTATCTCCTCTATGCGAATGATTACTAACAAATATGTGCATACATAAACAACAAATATGTAATATAGTTGATCGTTCAGGATAGTGAATTTAGCAACATAGAAATATTGTCTGTTACATAGTTAACACATTAGAGTATTGAACTACATCTAATAAAATTATACCAGACAAGCAGAGACACAGCTATGGAGTTACATTACAGTACCATGTCCGTATATGTAAAACAAACTTTTACATTTGAAACATTTAATGCAATCAAATAATTTTTCCAGTGAAAAATATGACTATATAATATATATGTTGTATATTTTGAAATATTTCAAAAGGTTAATTAATTCGTGAAATTATTTTGAATTTAAATTTAAATTAAATTCAAAATAATTATTTTATTAATTACTGGTATTAAATTCTAATTAATATCAATTTTAATGAGATATGGTAATTTGACCATTGTAGTTTTAATTATCAAATGTTTCAAAATTAATTGATTTTAATTATCATGATTAATTAATGTTACAACGGTCAGTGCTCCTATTATAAATATTGAAATTCAGGGTCAGAAGCATGAATCACTTCTCTCTTCTCTATTATCTCTTTTTCTAAACTTGCTAATTTTACATCCCTAATTTAGTACTGAGAAAGATCTCTTGGGGAGTTGCGTGGGAGTATGCGGATATGAATTGCATGCCTCAGGTTCTCAGCATCCATGGCATCAGGGAAGTATATTATTCATACTTGAAAGAGAGGAATTTTGCATCTGAATTGCCCGAAGAAATCCTCACCAGACAATTATATATATAATTTACTTGATCTATTAATTAATTTTTTTTATTAAGTCAGAAAATATACAAATCAAATCCTATTTATTATTAGTACATATAAAGTATTATATTATTCTTGAACCTAAGGTCCAAGGATGAAAGAAACAACTATAATGCATAGACATCTATATAAGTCATTTGAACTTAACTCATACATTGATTAATGTAGACTAAAGTAATGAGGTACTATCAATCATTTTCAAGATAACTGAATAACAGAGGAAATAAGAATCGTTTCGCACTAGCCAATCTCCATGCTTTTACTAATGTTAGAGAGAGTACATAGATTGTGAAGAGGATGATATAACCCTATCTCTTGGGTAAGGCAAAATTTCTGATCCATTGAGGATGAGGAATATCAGTTTAAAGACAGGGCAGGATAAAAAAGGTTGGTCATCCTTTGCACACTTTTCCGTTAATTGGAACATATGGTAAAACCAATGTTATAAAAACCGAATCAATCATTAAATTGGTCTAGATAGTAGTTTAATGATTTAGGAGGATTACTTGTTGAACTGATAAAACCGGTCTGTATTAAAAAAAAATTGAAAACATAATATATTTGAACATAATTTAAGATAAAAAATTAGATATAAAATTATATATGCATAATATATTTGTAAGACAACATCTCTAGCTTGTGGTAATTGTGTTCTATCTTAATATGAGGGACAAGGTTTGAGCCCCCTTGGTAACAAAGTGCACATTTTTCTAACTTTTTATTACTTTAAAAATCACATTTGCAGCCCGGACCAGATCACCAGGTCATCAGTTTTTCGGAAACCGGTTGGTTTGATCCGGTTCAACTACTTCTCCGAACTGATAAGCCAATCATTCGGTCAGGCCACTGTTTTCCGGTTGGACCGGCCGGTTTGCACAACACTGGGTAAAACAGTCTTCAATATCATTAATGTTGATCTTAAAATCTATCAGAAGACTGAAGGAAAAAGAAAATCAACCCTGTAGTCAAAATCCCTGATCAAAAAGTACTGATAACAAAATGATATGCAATAGATTGAGGACTTGTTGCTCTTGCATCAAGGGTTTAACTTTAACAGCTAACTGACTAACCAAAGGTAATATCTGGCATTGTCTCATTCTTATGCACAATAGTTCAAATCCTAATTTTTAAGTATGAGATTTTCTTCACAAACAACAAACAATTTATTGTTTCCCCATTCTTGATACTAGACTAAGATGGTCATGAATAGAGATTGTCAGTCTGCAGAAATAGCCAAAATGTAAAAAAGCTATAAACTACAAAAACTTTATCTTCTAATTTGATCCACTATTTGTATCAATGTAACTTTACATCAACAATAAACAAGAAAATAACTCTATCATTGTAACAGGTTTTTCTTTAAATTTTTTACAGTATTTTAGAATTTATACTGGTTCCACCACGCACATGGTACACCACATTTTTTTTTCTCTATATTTGTCATGATTTTAGCACAATAGTTAAAAAAGGTATGATGTTATCTTAAGGAATTTTGACATTTACTTTTTTATTGTACACTATTCAGTAAAGGTATCTTTAGATCAACTTTCATATCAATTGAGACAGTCTCTCCTGACCAAATCTTAAGGCAATCAATTTCCCCAAGAATTGGAAAAATGCTCGAGTTTGAGTAGTTAAGATAGGGAATGGATCATCTCATACAAGATACTAACATGACCTTGTCATGTAAAAAATGTGTCTATTTCTCTTTTGATAGACATTAGATAAGTAGGCCGAATCAATATATTTTGTGAAAATCTATCGAGAGAGATTGACCAAAATTTTTGCAAGAAAATTTCAAGTCAAAATCTCACCGGAGATTTCCATCAAGGTAGAAGCACATCTCAGTAACCAATAATATGCCAAGTCCATGGGCTATGGATATTGACAATGAAAAACACTAATGGTGTTTGAGTAAATATTTATCCAAAAAGTACTTTTAAGAGAAAAATAAAAAAGACAAATAAATTGAACTTCTCCATAAGATAAAATTAGCTTATGCTTATGCTAATTTGGAATTTTTGTTTCTATTAACTTCTCCAAAACCTTATTTTTAACTTATCCATAAGTTAGTTTTAACTTGGAAAAACCCATTTTCATTTTCCTATCTATTTCTCTCAGAAGTATTTCTAAAGAAGTTTACCCAAACAAACCTTAAATAGAATGAAAAGTAAAAATGAAAATCTCTAAAGAGTCAAGTATCACATGAATGTTGGGTGATACTTCTATGATGGATCACAAACATAATAACAAGAAAATAGAGGTAACAATTAACTAGGAAATTGTACTTTGCCTAATTTATATAAACTACATTTATGCTCTTTATATTTACTCATAAGGGAATGGTGACCGAGGCACTCTAAATGCTCTCTGATCTTTAAATATATGTGTTTATTTGTGGCATTCTCTGACAGATTACTTGCCAAGGAATTTGTTGAGTCTCATACCTGTAATCCATCCTTGTTAAGCCTTTTGATGGCAACTAAAACAGAATTCCCACTCCCATCAACAGGCTTGATTGAACCTTTAAACACAGTTCCAAATCCACCTTCTCCTATCTTAAGAAGCCTGCTGAAATCACTTGTCGCACGCTTGAGCTCTGTGAAGGAGAACACCCTCAAATTGTGACCCTTCTCCACGTACAGATCCGGTATACCGCGAGGCGATGCAGATGAGCATGAGGACTTGGTGACCCTTTCAGCCCCTGAAAACTCGAGTTTCTCTTGCTCTTTCAGTTCAGGTGCTGACCTTTGCTTCTTGTTCCTATATTTGTCTTTGAAATAGTAAAAGCACTTCATTGCATAAACAGTTAGCTATAATTCTTATGCAGTCTTTGATCAACCTGTTATCAATTCAACAAATCACCAAAAACAATGATTGCCAAGAATAAACCCTCAAAATATCATACCACCTAGAAAGAAGAAAAACACATCTATGTAGTGAATAGTAAAAGTACTTCATTACATAAACAACTAGCTATAATTCTTATGCAGTCTTTTGATCAACCTGTTATCAATTCAACAGATCGCCAGAAACAATGATTGTCAAGAATAAATCCCCACAATACCATTACCACCTAGAAAGAAGAAAAACACAACTATGTAGTGAATAGTAAAAGCACTTCATTGCATAAACAACTAGCTATAACTCTTATGCACAATCTCTGATCAACCTGTTATCAATTCAACAAATCACCAAAAACAATGATTGTCAAATCCCCATGATAACATTACCACCTAGAAAATAGAAAACCACAAATATGTAGTGAATACTGATACCCCAGATGTATCTGGAAACCAAAAGTGCAAAAAGTTTCAAAATTTATGCAACCCAAGAGAACAAAAAGATCAAGTAACAGAGAAAACCAGAAAAAGAATTCACACAACATACAACTTTGCTTGCAAATAGCACAAGTAAAATGAACCAGAATCTGCTAAACCTCACAAATAAGGCTCAAAGAAAAAAAAGGGTGAAGAAATAAAAAAATGGTTGAAATTGAAGGTAAATAATTGAATCCTCACAGGTGAAAACACAGAGAGGCATGGTTAGGCTAGCCAACAGCAGAAGTTCGAGAAGCTTAAACTTTGCAGGAAAACAAGAGAAGTTTCACATCCACAAATGTTGATTTTTCTTTTAGTTCTCTCTCTCACGGATATCAAAGAAGTAATTAAGAAAGTTTTCCGAAAGTTGTCCTTTTTCATTGATTGGTTGACCAAAGGCTAGCCAGCTTGCTTGTCCAGTTTCTGTTTTTGAACTTTGAAGAGAAAAAAGATGAATGCATTGACCAAGCCTTGGACGGATTGCTATTTTATTTTGTTTTTCAAAGCATCAAATCTCACATACACCGACTTATGTGTTCATTTAAATTTTAATACAATTATCATGACAATGAATATAGGACAAGGGATTATTACTCTATCATACATAGTCATAAATAAGGTTTAAATTCTTGTCCAAAAATCATAATATTCTGGTTAAAGAAGCACGCTCATTTTGAATAAAGTATTAAGTACAAGAAAAATGTGGTTAATTAGAGAAAAAGATTTATTTATAAAGTTCTCATATTTGTAATTATCAATAAAATTAATAAATATATCATACTAATAATATGATAAAAAAAATTGATCAAGTGCAATTTTTAGGTGCAAAACTATTTTTAATGAAAAAACATGAAAAGGATTTCCAAATGAATAGAATTAACCACTGAGGATATGTTGAATTGATAAAGATTTTATTCCACTATCATAAAGATTCAAATTTGAATTTTGTTGTTGTTAGTAAAAACAATTGTTCAAAAGTGCCTAAAATTGAGTCTTGAGATATACCGTGAGTCATAAAAACTTATTGGTAGTGCATTTAAAGGACAAATTTTAAAACAAAATGGCTAATTAAAAAGGTAAAAATTATAATTTTAATGACATCATAATTTATCTTCTGCGTATATACATTAAAATAATTAATTTAAATTAAAAAATATTTTTTTTACAGGTAAATGAGAATAGTTAAAGGTTCCTTTGCGAGAATGTTTTAAATTTTTGTAAACATCTTATACTTTTTTTTACATATTATATATAAAACTAGTTATATTCATAGAAAATTTAACAAAACTAGTTATTAGATATTTAAACTAGTTAAAAACTACCAGTAACGTAAGCACGGATAGTCCTAGTTTTTTTTTTTTTAGGTTCGTCCCTGGAGTATCCACCGCCGATTTAACACGGCTGCATACACAAAGCAGGATCCGAACCCCTGACCTTGCTTAAGCGTGGATCAACCCTTACCGCTGAACCACACGCTTAGGGTTGGATAGTCCTAGTTTGACCATTAATATACAATTACATAAAAAAATTTCTTGTAATAACATTCATATCTAACTTACAATAGGATTGTTTGCCATATAAAATAAATGTAATATCATGTCAAAACAAACATATAATTGTTGACGATCTCGTGAGAGCTAAAATTTTGAAATAAAAAATTAAATATATTTTTAGTTTCTTAAATTTAAAGAAAATTTTTGTTTTGTTTCTTAAATTAAAATCAATCTTTTTAGTTTTTGTAATTTTAAAAAATATTTTTTTAATCTCTCATGATATTTAACATATCAAACAATTATTAATCACTTTTTTAACATTTTCCTTTAAAATCATTTTCAAAATATATTCGCTGAAATAAATGTTATTAAATGTCCAACGAAACAAAACACCTACTTTCAAAATCACGGTGGTTGAAGTAAACGGGCAAATCATATAAATTAATAATTGTGTTTCTTCAAACATTAAAACTTTATCTACTTCTACGACTTACTGTTAGAACGGTGAAGAAAAGGTACTCCATGTTGGGATGCAGCGACCAAAGATGATAGCAAAGGGATAGTGACGATTCTAGAAACACTCTAACCTTCAAGTCAATAGGTGAATATGCATGTGACATTTAGTGCTTACTTATAAGCTTTAGTAAAGAACGCAAGAGAAAGAAAAGTTATCCAACATGACAAGTGTGTTTTGAGGGTGCTGACAATGATGGACAAGTCTTTCATCGTATTATCCAACAAGTGAATAGAAATTATTTTTACTTTTTATTTAAATTATTTAAAATTACTAAGAGAACCTTTTTTTTTATTAGAAGTTGCTTAGACTTAAATTCAGTGACAACTATTTGTTTTTTCACTTGGATGACAATGAACATGCCGCATATCCATTCGTAAAGGAAGGCCACTTATTGACCACGACGACGATGGTGAAACCTAATATAGGCGAGGTGGAAGCCACGCTCGCAGGTGCCATAGATGATGAGGAGGTGGTGGCTATCGACAATGACGAGTTTAGCATAAGCGGTACAAGGAGCTGGGCCACGGGGGAGGGCAGTGGGGTTGATGGAGTCGAAAAAGGAGGTTAGGGTTGATGGAGTTGAAGAAATAAGTTTTGATGTCATAAGAGGATTTGGATTTGGGAATGGAGATGACAATGCGGGTGATGAAGGCTTTCTTTTTTTTGGACAAAATGATTAGAAAATAAAGTACATTAATAATTTTTTTGTTAGTAAATAAATTTGAATCATTCAATTTAATTATTCATATATCTAACGATATTTTTTAATTCTCCACTAGTGAACCACATGAAAATCATACTTTGTTTAGTTGGTCAACCCATGAACCACATAAGTCATAAGTCCTAGGTAGATTTTTCCTATTATGAGATGTACTGTGTCATGCATGTTTATTATGCACATTCTTATTAAGTCGATTCTTGTGTGACTAAGTCGCTTTTGTGTAACTAAGTTGGCCTATAGACAATGTTGTTGTCTTGGTTTTGCTTACATTGTGTTTGGTATAGGGGAAAAATAAGAGAAAAAAGGAAAGAAAAAACAAGAGAAATAAGTAAGAAATAGAGTGAAAGTTGAAGCTGTTTGGTAGAAAAGAAGTGAGAGGAAGATAAATTTTTTAATTAATTTTATATTGAATTAAATAAAAAATAAATTTCAATATATTAAATATATTATCATTATTATATTTATTTTTATATTTCAAATTATTTATTTTAAAATTAAATAATTAAATAAAATTATATACATATACATATACATAAATATAATCAATTATGTTTGTAAACATATATATGTTTGTAAAACATGTATAACACTCGTTGAATATCACTAATGAATAGTGACTTCTGTGATAATCGTCTCATTTTTGTGTAGTTGGTTTTTAACTTAGGACTCACCTTCTTTTACCTACACGTCTTTATTAAACACACTACTTTCACACACTTCTCTCATCTTTTCTCCCCTTCTTCTCTCTTCCCTATTCCCTTGCACCATAAAAGTTGTTAGAATACTCACTCTAACATTCTAAGTTTTCTAAAATTAAAAAAGGATATTTTAATTAATAATTGAATTTTATAAAATAATATAGAGACTTTTTAAATAATTATAGATGCTTTTAGTTAATTAAAGAAAACTAGTGAAAATATAATATTTTTTATGAGTTATTTTGTATAATAATGTATTTTAATTGTATTTTATGATGGAGAAAAAATGTTTAGTTATAATTGTTTTAATTATTAAAAATAAGGAAAGAAGGTTTTAAAAGGAGAGTTTTTGAGAAATAAGTTAGTTTTTACACTTCTCTTATAACTCATGCTCTTTCTTTTCTCCCCGACTCATCAAGAGCTTCTTGGAGAGAACATTAAGGTTGACAGAGCGTATCCTAAAGATCCCCATCCTTCATCTAGCGCCTATTAAGGTAAAGAGGAGTGAGTAGTCTCACTCTAAGGTGTGAGATATTTATGGGTAGAGAGATTGACCTTCAATCTCTTGTTCATTCATGTATACTATGAGGGAGAAATTCCAATTTCGTATTCAATATGTGAATTTGTATTTTGTACTCTTCTTATGTGCCTTATTTGCGATGAGTGAAATATATGTGTAACTAATTTCATGTTAATTGCTTTAATCATGAATTTATGAGTTTCTGTTGCTCCTATGGAAACCCTAAAGTAAAGAGTAAACTAAAAACTAATAGGATTGATGATGTTTTGGATGTAAGCATGTTTAATGGATGACTTAATTGTACAATAATAGACTTTAATTTGAGATCTTACCTATTAGATTTGGATTGAAAGTGTTAAGGAATGGTGTGGGGGAAAGTTCAAAACCTAAAAATCATATAATATTAGGTTTCAGACTATCATGGCTCGCTCAAGTGAGTCTGTGATAAAGGGTTTTAGGTAGTAGCTTGCTTAAGCAAATTTTAGCTCCCTCAAGTGAATTGATTCTTGCTTAAGAGAATGATTGGATCTCTTAAGGGAGTATATGGCCGAATTTGCTTTTGTAGTCTTCATGAAAGTTGTAGCCCTAAATGTTGGCTTTCAAATTCCATTATAACCACTCAAAAAAGAGGTCTAGAACTCAATTTATGATTATTTTAGTGAGTAAATGTCGAGTTGTCAGAATTAGGCAAAAATATCACTTTTTTTTTTTGTAATTTTAAGCATAGTAGTTGATAAAATCAAAATTGGATGTCAACATATTAATTATTGATAATTGTCTTAACTTTCCGACAAGATAAAGACCAACTTGTAGAATATGTATAACTCTAGATGTCGCGTATAGACCACATAATGTCATTGAAACTTAAAGAAACGTAGAGATAGTTTGTGAGTTGTAATGGTGAGTTGTTTAATCCTTTAAGTACTTAATATTGGGAATGGTTTGTGATACTTATATCAATATTTAAGAAAAATGAAGTATGAGGAGGGATAATGTAACAACTCTGATACATTAGAATGAAAAGGATTCAAAGATTGTACAAGTTTGAGATTGTATGATTGAGAAAGACTTAAAGAAATAAATTTGTACTACTTATACCAATAAGATGCATTTATTTTTCGGTATTTTACCACTTAAGATCTTCATAGTTAAGTGTGTTTGACTTTGAGCAATTTAGGGATGAGTGACCGTTTGGAAACTTTTCCAAAAAGTGTTCAAGTGAGGACAAAACACACTGAAAAATCTTGTGTTATTTTATGGGGTTAGTAGTTGATCCTAAAAGAGGATGAACATTAGAAAAGGCTATCCATGAAGGGCTTTAACTGGTAATGGGTTTTGACCAACGAGTAGTAGAGTAAAGTGTCACTGTATGAAATGTCATAGACCGTTGAGACATTAAATTTGAGAGGTGTTATAGATAATAATGAATAAGTTATGAGTGGGTTATGAAGAAGATGTGAAATTACATTGGTAAGACCTTGTGCTTATGACTTTGTACCTGTATGAGATATAAGATGCTTCTATGAGATGTGCATT